GGAGATCGGATTGATTTGACATGATTAGTTGTCAACCTGTTAAGAACTATAAGACAAAGTAACTCCAAATGTGTTGGAGTTCTGGTAACACATCATTCCTTTCTGTCTCATGGTTCCAAATCAGCTTCTTGAATGAAGAAGGCAGGGAGAGAGCCTACCGTAGGTTTTGAATGTTTAGGATCTTTAAAGCTATGTAAATATCTGGGGAGCAGTATGTGGATTCAGCAGAAGGTTTTAGCTAATGCTCTGTACTATACAATGTCTGTAACCACAAAGAAGAATCTAAGCAGGCGATTGTTTAAACTAATCCAGAGAGTTAAATACCTTTGAATCAAATTGAGCTAGGCTGTATCTTTCTTCTGTGTGGGTATGAAGTGAGAGAGATCGTGTGTGTGTGAGGGAAAGACGGATCATAACCTCTACTTAGAGCAGTTCAAGGCTGCTAATGAAAGCATAGTAGCTGAAAGGGGCAGCCTGTGGGTGGCTCAGTAAAGGCAACAGCAGTACAAACTCAGGAGATGCTGAAAGCATGGAAGAGAGTGGCAAAGTCACCCTCTGTGAGGGAAAAGGACAGCTTCCAAGCTACCCGGGAAATGTTCTTTTTGTGCTGCTTGCTTTGTTGTAAATACACAAAAGTAATGTATTGTCACTTACTTGTGGTTCCTTCCAGTAAGAAAACTTCACTGTGTGAAGCCATCATGTGGTTTTAGCAGTCCTCTGGCAAAAGGCACGCTATGTACAGCTGAGAATATCTTAGCTAAATTATATATACAGCATCAAACTGCAATGGAGAGAGAATATCAAGAATCAGTTGTAAACATTTAGGAAAAAGCAGGGGCTTTTAGGACAACTGCAATGTGCTGAGTGGTGGTGCATTAAAGAAAAGCTTTACTTGGACAGGAATAGATAAAATAGATTATATGTTCAGCAGCTGTGAATTAAAACAAATACAATCTGGAGAGAATAATTTTCAGGTGGTGGTGGTTGTTATGAACTTGCATCTGTAAATGAAAGATATGAAAGCAGCTTTTAAATGATTGGTTTCTCCCTGCAGCCATGGACTTATTTCTTAGCATACAGAGCATTGCTTTGCTGCTGCTTTGACTTTTACCCTTTAGTCAGTCACCTTCCAGTCTGCGTCCTCTCAGTCATTTTTAATAGAATGCCTTTTTGATTATGGAAAATTGGTTGATACACTGCTCTAATGAAAATGCTAGACAAATGCTCCTTCTTGAAACTGACATCAGGAATGTTATACAAGGCATTCTTAAATATGCTGGCAGCTGCCCTGAATGTAATGAAATCATGGAAATTAGAAGTATTGCGCTCTCTGTGTGGCCAGCTCAGGACTGTTTTCAGTATGTTACCATTTTTGCTGTGAATTTCAAAAGGAATCACTTTTCCTGAATTTTTCTTGGGACATTCTTCAACATGCTTATGATTCCCACAATCAGGAGAATTATCCTGATATTCTGAGGTACTATTCCTTTTTTTTTTTTTTGGATTGCGCATAATTCCTCATGCCTACATCCCGTTCTACCACACTAAATCATTCCTCTTGCAGCAGAGAGTTTACAGTCTTCAGAAGACCAATAACTTTTCTGGAAGAAATGCATGCGTAGGGTGAAATCCTATTCCCGCTGCAGCCAGCAGTAAAATTCCCACAAACTTAAGTAGTTTGGATTTCACATGCAAGTTTTAGTCTTCTTTTGTATGACACTTTAGTTAATCCTTAATACATTCTTAGCACAGAAGGTATCTAAATGCAGGAAAGGTGGAAGAGTAGCAGTGATGCATACTTTGTGATTCACTAGCACCTTTCCATGTAAAGATCACAAAGCAGCTTATGAAAGACAGGTGAGACCTGCTGCAGAGTACAGGGAATGGATATTATTTTCATTTTTCTAAAGTGCAGGCAAAGTAGAAGGGAAGGACCTTATCTCTGTGGCAATGTATATGCGTATATAAATGAAAGTACCATCCTGGCTTCTCTTCATCCGTGTTTTTATTCACCTATTGCTTCCCTGTAGCTTTGATGTATTTTCATCAGATATTCTGAATTTGAGTTTTCCAAGATGAATCTAATTTTACCTGGTTTTTAGCGCTCTAGATTCTTCCATAGTTTCTTTGTTGGAGGCTTACAAAAGTTCCTAAAGTAATTGCAGTTGTGTTCGTTTGAAGTCATGATATTCCATTCCTGTCAACAATTAATAGCAGTATTAAGCTATTAAGCAAGAGGCGACTGAACGAAAACTTAGCCCAGATTCATATGCTGTCGCTTAACACTTCTATTGGAACTAGCAAGTTCTGGCTTGAGGATGAGGAGCACTGAAAGGGGGCTGTGGCTGCCTTGGTTGCTGGGAAAGAAGGCACAGAAACCTGTTTCCAGCTTCTTGTTCTCCTTTTCTGTTCAGCATGAATGTTCCGTTCAAGAGTGGTCGGAGAGGTGTGAGGGTTTTCTTATGTATTCTGGTTTGGGTTTATTCATTGCAACGGACTTGCAAAAGCCTTTCTAGAATGCAGAGTGGCAGGGACTTGGGCTGAGGGGTGGCTTGCACTGAAGCTAGAGTCACCGTGGTGCTCAGTGAGAAAACCAGCTGTTTTGAAAGAATGACGTGGAGATGGAATAGGGGGTCTACATCACTTCTGTCTTCTTGTGATGCCCAGCTTTACCAGGCAACCTTACTCTCAGATGCTGCTGTTGGCACATTCTTATAAAAGAAAGCCTGATAACGCTTGTAGGTGTACCGTAGAGCACAGAAATCTGTTAGAAGCAGATTTCCATGTGCATGATGCGATGCAAACAAGATGGTTTCTAGCATGAAAAGCCTTCAGTTGAGACATCAAATCATTAAGAATACTATGGCCAGAAGCTTTCATGATAAATTACTGTAAACTCATGAAAGATTGATCTTTTTTGATTTCAGAGAAAATAAATCAACAGTATGAAGTCAGCTCTATTACAGTTTCAAACAAGAGACGGACTCCTGAAGTATTATCCACTTCCTGTAAATATCACCTGTGAGCCTGTATATAAAAGGTTAAATGTTTGCAGACTATTACCCTTTGCCTTAAAGATCAGAGACAAATTACTATTTTTACTTTACATTCTCTTGATGAGGATAATGATAAACATCTGTCACTTTGCTGCTTAGCCAGCTAAGAATCTTATTGCAATCTGTAATTTAAACAATGAAGGAAAAAAAAAAAAAAGAAAAGGGAAAAAATACACGGAGAAACTGCACTTTATATAGGCAGCAAAGAAGAAAAAGAGAATAGAAGTCAAATGCAGGGGAACTGGGAAGGGGGCATTTTTGGTCTGCAGTTACTTGGCTAAAATCTGTGGATATATGATAGATGTATGATTTTCCATTTATTTGGTATTTCACAGGGAAAATTACAGTTAGTTTCTTTTCAGACATGGAGGCTAAGGAAAATACTCAATCTGCATGCTGTGACTTTTTGGCATGTGCAGTTTATTAACAAAATGATTAAGGTTTATAGGGTAGTGTGTCTACTGGTGTTACAGAACTGAAAACACTTTTCATCAAGAGCTCTTTCAGTGTCCTCCACAGTCCCGAGACTTTTAGGAAGCACTGCTAATTATTTTTAAAGTATAACTTAACAAATCACAACCATCACCATTTCATTTAGACTGGACTGACCAAGCCATAGTTTACAAGGAGTAAATACAAAGTGGTCTACCTGCCAATGCTGCATGAGCAGAAGCAGACCCTCCATTCGGAGATGAAACTAGGAATCTCTTTTTGGCCCAGCAAGAATGGATTTCATGCAGAGAGAAGCCTCTTTGGTGACATGTTTGCATATCTAGTTCTAATGGTCTTTTGCTAATGGGTTAGCTACTGATTTCAACTGCTCCGGGAATCTGTAAAGCACTACTGATGTGCAAATTTTAGCTAAATGCTGTATTGTAAATGGAGTTGTGCTGGCAGAGGTCTGGCTGGTATATAACTAGTTCTCGTTCCTGGGTTATTCACTTCTTGCAAGTACTTTCTGTTTCCTCATGTTATGCTTCTAGGTACCAACAGAACAGGTTTAGATTTTATAGTTCATGCTAATAGGGCTTTGGTGGTCGTTTTCAGGGAGAAGTACTGTATGTCAGAGTTTGGGGAAAGAACATTATTTTTTATACTTTCCGGGTTGAAAGTCCATTCTTTTGGCATCTTTGAGCCTCAGAAAGCAGTTTGATTTTCACCAAAAGGCTACTATTCTTTTTTTTAGGCTTTCTTATATTTATACAGGCCAAACCAAAGCACAGTACATACCTTTTAGCTTCCAGTTAAAGTTTCTGGTATTTTCTTTAATTAGGTCAGCTGTTTACATACAAAGAAGTTTTTTCTGTCCAATGGAAGAGACCTATAATATATAATCCAGCCTATGTTATGCTGAGCCTTGAGCACTGGAACCAATGATGCTTTTGCTGTTATCCTTCATAAATCCTTTGTTATATAGGTGCTATTCACATCTAGCAAGTTTGAGGGTGAACTGCGGAATTTGTCACAACTGAGCCTTAAATAACAAGGATGTTTTTTACCCGTAGGAGGGTAAAATTCAAAATCCAGACTTATGGTGCTGCTTTCTTGCATGGGTCAAGCTGGCTGAATCTGAATGGTACAAGATTTGATAATAAGTATTGCAGTAAGTGAGCTGAGATAATTTCTTGGGATTTCATTTACCACCACGCATCTTTGTCTGAAAACTTTCTTTAATATAAAATTACAAATTTGTGTGGAAATATATAATGTACTTTGTGAAAAAGGTCTTGCATCTCATATTGCATTAACCTTTAAAGGTCCAAATTTCATGATGCTAAACACTAATGTTAAACAGGCTAGTACTTCATATTTTAACCTCCAGACATTCTTTGTATGAGCTACGTCACTGGATTACTACAGTTTAAGTCCAGGTTTTTTCCCCAATATACTTGCTGTTTACTGCAGTCTGAAAGAATTGACTTTTCTTTTTTTTCTTCTGTGTAGACTGAAAATGATGAGAATGGTCAAGCAGACAATTTTTCAATGGACCCCCAGCTGGAAAGACAGGTGGAGACAATTCGAAATCTTGTGGACTCCTACATGTCTATTATCAACAAATGTATCCGAGATTTGATACCGAAAACAATCATGCATCTTATGATCAATAATGTAAGTAGCAGCCAGGGTTCTAAATTACTTTAACATGTCTGTCAAATCTCTTACGCTCAAACACACCTCTTGAATATAGCAGCAACAACAGCATGTACTAAAGAGAACACGCTCCCAAAAATGTCACACTCTTAGACAAAATATTCCAGTCTTCTGTAGTAGTAGGAAGTTCTGCAGCCTTCTCAAAGGCTGGCACGCTGCCTTGAGTGCTTACTCCAAAATGCTAAAGATTAAATTAATTTACAACTTAATCAGAATATAAGTTATTATATAAAGACAAATCAAGGATATTTTTTTTCTGTCTTGCTTTTGATAGAAAAAGGGAGTTGGGAGCTCCATCTAGGCAGTCTGTGAGAGCAGCAGAGCAGAGTTGTGCTTCCTTGATTTTCAATTTGTAGCCCTTTGTCATGCTTTTAAGCAAGCAGTTCTTATTCTATTTGGGTTTCTGTGTATTTTCAGGTTACCGTTTTCGAAGAATAAATCCAGAAGCCTTGGACACTGTTGTTTAGATAAGCAGATGTGGTTGTTTGATTTATTGTGTGTGTCTTTTTTAGATCTGAAGGTTATTTGGTTAAAGAAATGGCTTTGAGATATCATTGTTTTTCCACTGCACTAGGATCTCAGCCTTTGCTTCCTGGCAGAGTTCTGAATGGACCTTGTTGAAGACTAAGCTTAATATTAGTGCCAGTGCTGCCATATAAATTAATAATGGAGAGCACAGCTCCTGTTAGTTATGGGTAGCACCTTTTCTGTGAGGTCATCAAATCAATCAGTCTTTACAAATACAATATGCTATAAGACAAATCTGGTTAGAAAGTAGCATTTACTTTTGACTCAGAGCCACCTCTAGCCTTCGTCTGACGGATTTCATTAGCCCTGTGGAATTTGTGTTGCATTTAGGAGTTAGGTGGTTGGACAGGAAATTTCAATGGGATTTCCTGGTACATATAATACGAGCAGAATTTTTGTATGAGGGCGAGAGATTTTCCATTAACTTCTTTAGGTTTAGGGGAGTCAGGCTCCAAATAATGCTCTAGTCATGGGTGAGCTTTCACAAAAGATGCATGGGAACAATGGAACTGCACTTTTTTTCCTGAAATCAGCCATGCTCTAGACTTTATAGGGTGAGCGTGTTCTCTCTGCTCTTTCCAGATCACAGCTAGCAACTTGTTGCTTTGACTTAGCACAACTTCAGTGCCTTTTGAAAGAGCTGGTTTTTAGCTCTCATTTCATAAACTGCAGAGTTCGGTGAGCAGTTCCTTTTGAAATTTTACATTCAATTTTCTGCCACTCACTTCCTCATATGGAATAGTTTAAGGGTGCTTTACTCAGAAGTAGAATACTTTAAGATTTTGTACTTTCAATCTCATCAGCTGTTACATTGGTAAAGTCTGCCATGCTGGCTGACCACGGCACACAGAAACAACACACGTACAACATCGTCTACCTTTCAATTGACCTCATAGCCCATAGCTGTGTTTGGGCTTGCTAGTGAGCTAAGACCTACACCTCAATCCTAGAATTTAAATTTGCGGCAAAAAATCAAAACGTTTTAAAGGACTGTGAAGAGTGAGACTAGAAACATTAATGCACTTGTTTCTGTGCAGCATAGGCAGTAAAACATCATATTAAAAACAATAGCTAAAATATCAATTTTAAAAAATCAGTGCTATTAAAAAGAGAAGGAAATGCTTGAATTAAGACTGCTGAGCCATGCCAAAAGTTTGTGCAAAGACCTAGAAAGCAGTGGAGCTGTGATAGAAGGTGGGTCCTGTTAAGTAGTGTCTATGTTCCTTGGAGTCTTCAGAAGTCCAACCTATCCACCAGGAATTAAGTGAAAACACCCTCCCTCCCCCTTAATGACCATATTCTGTACTTTCTGCTGCCCCATCATGTTGCCTCCAAAACTCTGGAAACAAATTGATCCCAAGGAGTTTGTTTCCGTGACAACTGTAACCTCCCAAGTCCTCCTAGAACTTCCTTTCCACTTTGTGAGCCTGTAAATGAGCACTTATAATTCAAGGGAAGTATCGGATTCAAACTCAGTGTACAGAAAATAATTAGATGCTGTCCCTAAGCATATTTCGAGGCCTAAGCCTAGATTGTTGTATTCCAAATTTACCCCTTATTCTTCCCTTAGGGTGGATGTTGATTACCTTAAAAGAAAATGCATTTACCACACAGAACTGCATTGAGTTACTATTAGCAATTCAAACATGCACAAACAAAACACACATTTCAGAATTTGTGTTTCATGGTGCCTAAGTATCACAGATTATACAAGAGGGGTGGTCTTACAGTACACAGTGTATACTCCATAAGCAGTGCTGATATTAATCTCAGCTGAGTCAAAAAACTTCAAAGTACTTGTTACTACCAAACTTAAGGTTAAGGAATGGATTGTGTTTGCATTTGAGGCAGTTATGTATGTTGTAGTCTGCCCGCCGATGAAGGAAGCTGCAAGCCCATCTTACCCCACTTTGGAGTGACAGGACAGGCTTTGTGGCATTGGTGTTTTGGACGCTTTGGTGTTATGGTTCAGCTTTGACCACAGGTCTGATGTCTGTGAAGGAAAATGTTTTAAACCATTCCTGTGAGTCTTTCTGTTTTCTAGAAAGGAGCAAAGGCATGAGTAAGTGTCACTTTCCCTTCTTTTTCCAAGCTGGAGAAAGTGGCTATTGTGGAAGATCTTCCTCTGTCTAGTACAGTGCATCTGTTTACAGAAGGAAGGAGGTTGATCCAAGAACTGCCCTTAATGCAGCAGTCTTCTCCTTCCAGAAGAGTTCAGGGAGTTACTTGAGTCTCCTGCTAGTGGCAGACAGGGATCTCTCATGATAATTGTCACAGGCTGATTTTTTTTTTTTTCAAACAGATACTTGTGGTTTAACAGTGCTTTTACAATCAGCTCTGGCCTTAATCTAATTTTAGGACTTCTGAAGTGATGCCATTAAAATGCTCATTTCATCGAGTAGAATGTGATGCTGTTTAACTATGATATCTGTTTTTAATGTGGAGTTTTTGGCAATCATGAGGAAAGTAGTGTACTCTGGCTCTTGATCAGTACCATCTACTGGAAAACAGCATGAGACTCATGGAAAATTTTTGCAGGCTTTGCTGAGAATTTGTGCATCTCCTGTCATACGTGAATGGGAAACGACAGTCAAGCCCAGGCAATATGGTTTTGTTTCCCTGTAAGGTCTGTCCTGGCCTTCTTTCCATTGCTAGGTGACCATAAAGGGTCCCATGCCCATACAGTTCGACTGCTCTCACTGACCTCCTCTGAACACAAACTTTGCCTTAGTCTAACTGTCAGGATTTAAAACAATGTTGCTAAACTAGCAGAAACCCATGTGCAAATGGAGCTCAGGTTTATGTAATCAGAATCTTGGGAATGTATTATCGTTAGTATCTCCAGGTCAAAAAAGATTTATAGAGCAAAAAGCCAGAGGAGAAATAGATCAGAACAGCAACGAAAGTCTCAAATGCAAGGATTTAGTAGGTCAGCAGTTGGTCTATTTACCACAGTCTTATTTAATCAGAGTACCTCTAGCTTTTTATCTCTTCTAATGTGGCCCAGGTTTCCATAACCGGGGCAGGCATAGCAGGAAATCAATACAGTAAATTAGATTACTTGGAGACTTCTCCCTTCAGTTTGAATGTGTGTGGATGGGATACTTAGAATCTGACAAAGTTGTTGGAGATGAAAGACACTGTCTATAGTAGGGTGAATTGTTGCTAAGAAAATAATTGATAGACATGCTGTAAAGCCTGAAAATTCCCATTCTCAGGGGAATTTAGTATCTGATGATATTGCTAATGGCTGCCATTTACCTCTCAGCCCTTTAGAATTGGACCAAAATGCAGCTGACTCCTGGGAGCTGTTGGGAAGCCTGTTTGAAATGAAGTGTAAACATAGGTGTCACCTTAGAGACACAGACCACTGTTAACTTCAATCATGTCCAATGTTTCAAAGACAGCCACAAAAAAAGGCCACAGTGCATTGTGGAGCAACTGCACAAAACCATCTTATCCTCATATGTGAATCGTTGTTTCAGAATGTGGCTTCATAATTACGTTAAGCCCATCTGCGTGCAGGCAGCTGCTAAAAGGTCGAGTCCATCCTTCTCCAGCTGCTCTGCCCAGCTGCATGTGCCAGCCTTTCCTTGGGCCACAGCTAGACCTCAGGCTGCTGCACCGTCAGCTCTGTCTGAGTTCAGCATTTTTTAGTCCCTGATCCGACCTAACAAAAACTGCATGACCAGTAGAATTGATGTAAATAAGGTAGTAGGAGAAACAGATTAAATTTAGATATGTCTGTCTCCTGGTTCTGTGGATCTCACACTGTATTTATTCAGTATTGTATTTTCAATAGGGTTTTTTGTTTTATTTTGTTTATTTGTTTGGTGGGGTTTTTTTTGTCTGATGAAATAGGTAAAAGAATTTATCAACGCAGAGCTCCTGGCTCACTTGTATTCTTCTGAGGACCAAAACACTCTAATGGAGGAGTCGGCTGAACAGGCGCAGAGGCGAGATGAAATGCTCCGCATGTACCAAGCACTAAAGGAAGCCCTAGCAATCATTGGTGATATTAGCACTAGCACTGTCTCAACCCCTGCACCCCCTCCTGTAGATGACTCTTGGCTTCAGCAGGCCCGCAGGTAAGGATCCTCAAATCTGTATTGCAATTAAATTTAGGACAGGCAGGCATTGTGAGCATCAGCAGCTCCCTCCCCACCTGTCTTTTTGGGCAGATACTCCTCCAGGTCTTTAATGACATTTGTGAGGGAAATCAGAACATTTTCCCACATCTACATGTTCTATGTGAACGCCAGACAGGGTATTTGTCTTGCAGAAGACCATCCAGTGGATTTATAGCTTGTCTGATGCTTCAGATAGCAGCCACTTCTGTCACCCCAATTGTGTATCCACATGGCCTCTTCTTCCAAGCTGTTATAAGACTTCAGCACGTCAGGCTCCATGTCCTAGAAAATCCACTTAACAGAACATCATTAGAACTCTTAATATTAAAATCCATTAGATTTACCTCTTTGATCGTATGTTTATTTCTGGCTATCGTAAAGCATTCTGTCTGTGGGAAAGGTAAGAGTGAGACTTAAATATATGTGATGCTGTGACACTGACAGCAAATGAAAATGCCAAGAAAAAAAAATTGTCATAGGCATAAAAAAGGGTTTCATTTCTGTTAAAAAAAAAAATTAAAAACAAAACCAAAAAACTAGAACCCCAAACCCCACCTTACTGAACTTCTTAAATCTCTGATATTTCACTAGGTCACCTCCTCCAAGTCCCTCAACTCAGAGGAGGCCTACATTAAACAATCCCCCAACCAGACCTTTATCTGGCCGAGGACCTGCTCCTGCAATCCCATCTCCAGGCCCTCAGTCGGGGGCTCCCCCGGTCCCGTTCCGCCCAGGACCACTGCCCCCGTTTCCGAGTGGTGGTGAAGCCCTTGGAGGACCTCCCCAGGTTCCCTCTCGGCCAACCCGGGCTCCTCCCAGCGTCCCAAGGTAAGATGTCTAATCTTCCTCGTGGTGGGCATGGTTCTCTCCCTCTAGCATAACAGACAGATTCTGCACTGTGTCAGAAAGTCGAGCACCGTTGTTGAATAAGTCTTGTAACAAAGCAAAATTGGGCATTCCAATTTTGCAGAGAGTCAAAAGCGTTTTGACGAACCAATTTTTAGCACAAATATGACTTTTTGAAAAGACAAAGTTTTTTCAGGAAAAAAAACATTCCAGTCAGTCAATCTGAAGACACCAGTTTTTCTTACATTAAGAACCCTTGTTCTGGTTGTGTAGTATGCACATAGGGGTTCACAGAGAGCGAGAGGTAGTCTACCCCTCCACCAGAAGAGGGACAGGGGTACAACTCCTCACTTCCGCCATTCTGAGTCCTCACCAGAGGAATTAATGGCTTTTCTGGGAGAGAACAAGAACAATCCTTGTAGAACCAGTGGAACAAACCGATAGCAGTCTGATTCTTATTCCACGAGGCAAGTAATTTACAGCCAGTTGAAAACAGTCCATAGTTGTCTAACAGTGTAGATCATATGGTACAAAACAATTAGCTAAGGAACAGGATTTTCATCACCACATCATTTCCTTTCCTTCCCAGGGCTTTGCATTTATCAGTACTATCCAAAGTAGCTTTGCATATTTTATAATTTTGTGTGGCATTAACTGCTTTTTTATATAAGTTATATGAATAAAATGTCCTTAATATTTATTTTCACAATGACGTAATACATGTAATCCCTCATATATACATATATATATATGAAAGCCTCTGATTCAGAGGGCTTCAGTAACTTCCTAAATTATGAGAGGCGTGGGCAGATTAGGCAATGTTGGAACAAAGGGATTTCTCCATTTTTTAATAAATTAACTGTTACATTAAAATTAGTCACAGTTTGCAAAAAAAATGCCAGTTAAATAGAAACAAAAGGAAAATGTGCACATTTTCAATTTTAGAAATGGTAGTTGAGAAGAGAACCTTTGGAGAAAAACTTTCTTTTAAATAGGTGAGATCTGTTGTAGTTGTCAGTAACTAAATTTGAGGCTCAGTGTTTCTAATATAATTATCCTTTATAATACGAAGAATAAATAGATTAGGTATATCAAAGGAATGAAGTATTTTTAGATATTTGCTATGAAAAGGGCATTGTTGTATCAGTGCCCAACCATGAAATGCACTCTTTCATCTTAGTGGATATCCCATAGCTTGCAGCAGGACCGCTGGAGAGAAACCTAGAATTGCCTTTCCGGGCACAAAACTTCGTGCTTGAAAGGGAGGAAGTCCAAGCAGGGTTCTCTCATTGGGAGAGCTTGGAACTGAGCTGAAGGGCACTGGCCCCACTGTTTCCCCTGTGCCATCAGAGGATAAATCACATACTAGATACAGAAATGAGGTCCAGTGTTTTGTCAGTTGTACTACTGGAGAGAACCATAGCTCCCTAGCGTCTCTCACCTTGCCTTGCAAATGAGCATGTCTCCTTTGTCCTGCCTGGCTGTGGTTTTGCATGAACATTGCTTTCCTGAGGTGGCTTGCCCGGAGCATGTCTGATTATAATCTTTGTGATGCTAAAGTGATAGGTGGGATGGAGAGCAGAAAGGAATTTTCTAGCACACAAAAGACACTTGGGTAAGCAGCCCGCGAACAACCCAATTCGTGACTGCCACTGGTGGCATGCAAAGCAGTGGCTGATAAAGGAGGTCAGTGTTTTTAAAATGCTGTAGCTGGATATATAATTGAATGTACAACTGCCTGACATTTTTGTGGAAAAAATATCTGCAATACGCATCTTCCGTACTGGATCCTAGTTCTCTTTTTTAAAGCTATGGAAATCTCAGCTGCTTGAGAACGAAGGAAGGGTTTGCCCTTTTGCTGAAACTTCGGGTTTCTCCTGCTGACTAAACTCCGAGAGAGGAAATCCCAGGGAAGGGGCTGCAGGGGAAATCACCTGAGGGGGACAGTGTGGCCAGCTCCTGCGCCTATTAAAAGTTTCTTTTGAGCCCTGGAATTTCTGCTACGCTTGGTCTGGTTTTAATAACAGCCTTTGCAGGATCATAGGAAATTGACTCAGAAAATGGGTCTGAGATATTAAGAGGGAAAAAAAATAGTTTTGAGGAAGAGTTCTTGTGGAAACTTGAGCTTTCTCTGTGACTTATTTTTGAACTGGGGCTCTGTGCTCTGATTGCTCTACCACCAGTTTCTGCAATGATTCTTTGAAGTGTCAGGATCTCTCATATCTAGAGAAATAGTTTAGCTTCCTAAGAAGAAAGCTGTATTTTTAAAGTTCATCTAGCTTTCCAAAGGAGCTTTTTGTGGCAGCCCCCGTCACTGTCATGTGGAGCTGAAAATCCTGACATGCTGAAGAAATATAAGCTTTCTATTTTCTCCTGTTCTGCCTTAAGATAAAAAGATTGTTTTCAGGGGTAAGACTTGGACCGTTCTTTTCCAATGAGTGGCTGAGCACACATTGGTTTGGAGAATTGGCCACCTTATAGTGAGATACAAGCCTTGCCTTTAAAAAAACAAAATCCCTTTTTTCCTCAACTTTATTAGCATTTAATCAAAGGAATTGTACAGAAATTGTGAGCTCTCAGCATTTTCTCGCTGTTCCTTGCTTACTGTACAGGGAAAGGAAAAGGGTTAGGGGAGCAGGAAATAATTTTCTTCCTTGCTTCGCTCTGATTCTAAAGCTGTTTTGGGTTATGTGCTCTGAATATTTCTGTAAGGAAACAGAAACTATTTGCATGATACATGCCTCTTTTAATTAATCCCACTTGAGGTGGGTGGATCTCTCCCAGCAAAGTCTGTGAGTAAAGGCCCCTGGCTTTAAAGGGCTTGATGCCAAAGCATATATGATTTGTGAAATATTCCCCACTGCCAGAATTTAGGTTATTCCCCCTCTCTCTTAAAAGACTGCAGTAGTGTTTTGAAAGAAAATGCAGCTGTGCGCTCGCTTTGGTAAGATGGCTTTAAGCAGGCACTAGAGCCACTTCAGCTTACCATGATGTGTGGTTGCCTGCCTGTTTGAAAAGCCTGATCTTGACCAATTTTAGTTCTACTGTGGATGCTTTGATTTATGGCTTTTAAATGTCCTGAACGGGAATCTCAGCTTTGCCACAAGGAAAACAATTGAATTGGAAATGTTTTTCTCCTGGCAGCAGAGCCCATGGTGTTAGTGGGGGTGGGAGGGTGCTCCCCTTTTCTCTCTGTGTTCTGCTCTGCAATGCTACTGCAGATTCATGAAGGCTTTCCCAACGAAGCACTGGAGATCGTTACTCACTTTGCCATTAAAACATACGTGACCCTGCGTGATGTGGAATCCTGGGACCTGGTTAAACAGGGGTCTTGAAGGGCTGGACTGTCCACTCAAGCAGGCAGGAACATAAATGCTCTTGAGCACACGTCTCACCCTCAACCATGCCGGCACTCAGTCCTTGGGGGCTGAGGATGGTCTTTGCATGTAAGACAAGCAGCGGGGAGAGAATTCACGTTATGCTGTTCATGAACAGCCCCATACTCTCCCTACCACCTCTTTCTGCTGTCTCCCTAACAATTGACTTCAACCCACAGCCAGCCAGCATGGAAGAGGTGATGGCTGCTATGCAGCGATGTTTTATTATGCCACTGAGGCTAATTACATGACCTGTTGTGTTTGTAACTAATCTATGTTGTAAGCCATCATTACGTATTTCTGCCAACCCGGCACAAAAAAGTACTTATACTTGACAGTAATTAGTTAGAAAATTCCAGGCAAAGCCAGAAGAACTGCAGAAAGCATCACTGCCTGACATTTCCTGGTCCACAGGTTCTGTGCTCAGCTGTTTGACTGCCAAATATCACCCCTGAAGTAAGTTTTCTGTGATGGATTTTTATGGATTAGAGTTCTCTGGAAAGATTTAATGTAATGTCTAACCCTGTGCATTGAATGATAAGGGGATCCCTTGCAAAAATTGCACGTGATCCTCTGATTAAAATCTGTCATAATGCATAGGCATATAAGGCCAGAAGAGTTATCCTGCCTTAGCCTGGCAATCTCCTCTCTTCTGAAAGTTTGACCTTGCAGCCTTAAAAGCTTACTACTATATTTTTAAATGGAATATAAATAATAATCAAATAGCCATTGCATCAAACACATCTGGCAGGATGAATAAGTGCCCACCTTAAAGCATGTGCATGCTGAGTTGGATGATCTCAATCTGAACTCCCAAGTAGAAAAGCACAGCTCCATCCAACAGTAGCATCCATTTGTCCTCTTTGAATGGATCTTCAGTGAAGGTTATATTCAAAAAGTATAATCAGCAATTAGGAGTGTTTCATGCAAGCAGAGACGAGTGTAATCTGGAGAGATTTCAAAATCCTCCTGA